CCCTTCGTGCTCTCTTCAGCCAGCCAATTGAGAAATCCTTTCATTTTACGTGTAAAGAGGCCTGATTTCGTATTGTATCGTACATAACATTTTTTTTTTCAGATGACAACTGTGCAGAAGCCAAACCTGAATCGGATGAAAGGTGTGTGTGTGCATTTGCACCGATCGACGTCCAAATGATTCGTCGATCTAATACTTTCTAAAGATTATTTTGATAGAATGGTTATGATTTCAGATTACCAGACGAAGACAACCATTCTTCCTCATCTGTGGAACAAATTGACGAGCACAGTGGTGAACAGTCACCTGATGATAGCAAGCTCAGACGACGAAGCTCGAAGGACGGAGTTAGGAGAGCAATGATGAAGGCAAATCCAAACAAAAAGTTCAAAGATTTAGTAAAAGAACTCTTTGCAAATCCTCCGGCGCCGAGAAAACGGGAAAGGTCCTCTCAGAAAAGCTCGGAAACTCTAGAGAATTACATTCGCAAAGAAGATCAACTTTGCAACCGCCTTGAGATTTGTTCATCGCTGTATTTGAGAAACAGAAGACGTGAATTCCTGGATCGAATAATAGTTTATGAGGAGAAATGGATTGTATACGACTACACGTATCGCAATGTCGGCCGACTATCGAAAAAATCTGACCCACAAGAGAAAGCGGAGCCATCCGATATCTCGACGAAAAGAAGATCAATGCTGACGGTGTGGTGGTCATCCTACGGTGTCATACTCCACAAAGTTCTGTCGAGCAGTCCCTCTAAAGAAGGCAGGACTTTTACATCGTATATACGCGAAATGAACAAATGTTTACTCGAACAACAACCATGGCTTGTTCAAGGACCGGCTCCGATCTTTTTCTACGACAGCTCTTGCGGATACATAAGTAATGCTGTAATTCATATATTGTGCCGATTCGGTTTTGAATGTTTACCGTATCCGTATGACTCAGTGTATCTTTCCCCTCACACTTCTTATATCAGTACTCATTTCGGTAATTACTTACATAACAGAAAGGAGCAGATTGAAGAAGTGGATGATGCATTTCGTGACTTCATTAAAACTAAACCATCCAGTTTTTTCAAGGAAGGATTGGCGGAGCTTCCAACTCGTTGGAAAAATTGTATTAATTCACGTGGCGATCTTCTTGGATAGTTTCTTTTTAGTTTTGATTTTTTTTGTAATTGATCTCTGCTTTTTTAATCGTTCACTCCACCGCAACGGCTCGTGTTCTTCGAAATCGCTTTATTTTCGTACTTGAAATCAATACTCATTTTTGTTTGCTGTACAAAGGCAAGTCGTAAATGCGGATTTGGAAGTACACGCGGGTGGGCAGAATTAGAAAAGTCATTCTTCTCCCGCATTCAAATCGGAACTAATCATACTCCGCTAAACTCGAATGGAATGATACCCTTCGGAAGTCGAAGAGTACATTGCAAGCAGTCAAAAAATTTCACAAGCCTCCTATACGGACGACATCAGAATGATCTGTGCCTCGGGAATATTATGCAAGGGTAACCCAGCGATCTCTCGACGTATCGTGGTCCATTCTGACATTGCTGGTCAGCAGGGATCCTGCACAATCAGAGCTGCTGCCTTTGAGAGGCTATTCATCAGTTAACCGGGAGAAATTATGTAGCAGTTTCAGGTCAGAGTAGTTATGGCAGGTCTTCCTGAGCACAGTGGCGAGTATCCCCAAAAGGCCCGTCGCGCGGCGAAGGTAGAGACGCAGATGCGGCAAAGGACGAGTCGCAGCGCGTGCTGTGCGATATGAGACGTAGTATGGTACACTCTATTTAAGCCTGACGCCTAACCGCTACAGTATGCGCTGCGACTCGTCCTTTGCCGCGTCTGCGTCTTACCTTCGCGCGCGCGACGGACCTTTTGGAGGAATCCCACAATGGCGATAGCAGGTGACGTCATATTGTGAAGACAGATGTGGGACTTAAGGAAGGTCTGCTGTTTCTTCTCATGGAGAATCATCTAAGAATTGTTGCCGTTAATCTCCACCAACAGAAGCACCTACTTCGACGGAAGGTTTGGTGAAATGCACTATGAGCAGAAAGACTATTCGGGCTCTCCCCTCCTCCTTGTATGAAGGTGGTATTCAATGGTCAACACCATCAAGAAACATGCGTGCTATCGACTTTTCAACGCCAGTAGAACACGTTGGCCTTGAATAAAATCCCATAGATTCTATTATATGATGCCTTAAAAGCGAGAGATTGCGATAGGATTCTGTTGTGCTCATAGTGGAAGTGAAGATGCTGAATAATGCCCTAGTAGCGAAAAAAGCAAAGAAATCCGTCAAAAACGCGCAAAATGGGACCACTTCCTCTGCCCGTTGACCTCCGATAATGGACGAGTTGGCAACCAACTAAGAGGTCGTCGGCACTCGTTAAACCATAGCTGCCATCATACCACCAGAGATCATACCTTGATTGATATAGCATTCCATGAGAAAAAAATTGGATACGCGCTCGAAGTGGCATACCTTATCAGAATGATAATCGAACAGCGATCTGCTGAGGGGCGGAGCACAGGCGGAGGCGGAGCTCAGAAAGGATTGGCAGCCCCAGGGCGCTGCAACGAGCGCACCTTTAGTCACAAAAAGGCCACATCTCGATTCCTTTGGGCTCTAGCTACTGCTTGAAGTGCTGCTCGTTCTTCCATGCTGCACAGAAATTTTATCGTAATTTCTCGCTTTAAAGTCAAAATTCGGGCTTAGTAGGGTGGTTATGGCGATTGAAACTGAGTATAGAGATGCGAAGTGGAACGGCAGTGGAGAAAAACGTCGACAAGGCCGTTAACAAAACCCTCTTTCCCACTAGCAGTGAAGGAGGCTGGCTTGGGGAAAGAGGCACGTACAAACAAGTTTTCTGGAGATGTCAGTCGTTCTATCAACCTAGCTGATTTCACACGTTATGCCAGCCACGCACCACTTCCGGAGGTGGCGGTCCCGGATTGAAACCGAACGCCCCGGGGCCTTAACGACGTTTTTCAAGGTGGGAAGTTGCTGCAATGTGTGCAGCTACCCACATACAACCTCCAGGCACGGGAATTACTTCTCTAGCGTGTCTGAGCCCGACCTTTGCCTTTAAGGAGGAATTCACGATAAGAACGAAGGTCAAAGAAGGGGAAATTGCATAGTTGGGAGACAGGCGGACCTCCTGAGGGTGCTGACCGACGCGCAATTGGCAGCGAAAGATTTGACCTCGGCGATCTAGCATGGCTCACTCTTGGCGCGGTTGGCGGGTACGCCCACCGACTATCTAATCACTCGCCGCAGGTCTATACGTGGCGAGTGATTAGATAGCAGAGAGAGCGTAGTGTTGAAGAGGGCACAGCGATGAGAGTCGCATCAACGGGCAAGGAAGGGGTCCCATTTCTCGGGTTTCGGGCCGTTTCAAATGGTTTCTTCTTCATCCCTGCTCCACTGACCACCTCTACCCTTATTTCCAATGAGCTAACTTTTCATCGTGAATTCTGCCGAATACCACATTCTGTGCTACAAAGTCTGCTTTTACGATTCGCCCAGATACAGGAAGTCAAGTGTAAACCACAACGATGCACTTATGGGGCACTTTCAAAGAAGTCTTGGGCTAATGAAGCTCTAAATTATTGGGATAAGCTTCAATTCACGAAGGTTTAGATTTCCACTTAAGTTTTGCAGTCGCTTCTAAGATTACCACATTGACATACTCTTTGTTAGTTCTTCTACTTTTCCACTACAGATCTACTAACGCTTTTACGTTTCACATAGAGTAGAAGAGAATTTTGTTCATAACTTCAAAAAATTAATTTCAGTGATTGTTGTTACCCATTTTCAAGAAAGCATTTCACTGTACATATAAATAAAACGTATTCCTCGTTTCAGATGTATCATATATGAAAAAAGTTCGGTCACCGACTGCAGTATTTTATGTACGAGGAACGATGTACCTATGGGGCATGACTTTAGGAAGACCAATCGATTTCTGGGATAAATTCTTACGAGCATTTTCGGAATTCCGAACAAGATGTGAAGTTCCTCAAGAGTTAATTTCCTAACCAAAGCCACTATTTGGCTACCAAGCCGAAAGGTACAGCTACCAAAAACTGTTGTGTTGTTGAATTACGCATGAAGCCGCAGTCACGTTTTCCACCTCTGAATAAGTACTCGCAAATTGTGTGGTTGGACCTCAAAAGAACCCTTAAGACTGTCTTCATTTCTAGCGCGTATCGAATTGATAATTCATGCAGTCACGTTGGTAGTTTAGAAATTGTGGCATTATTTACAGCATTCCAAGCTCTCATCTGAAAGGGATGGGAACTATATTTCTACAGGAGCCCCTGGAGTGTGCATTAGTGAGAGTGCGGAAACAAGGTGAAGCATCCGTTCAAATATTCGAACGGGTGAGGGCTACTGGGAAGAATTGTCTATTCTTGTTACCCCACTCCACACGTTGCGCTTGTGTTTCCGTGAGAGCGCGGTCGAAAATTTTGAGATGCGCGAGTGACACTCACACGTGCTAAAAGTATTTCACTTACATCGCAGAATCCGAAGGAAGAGCGTAAAGATGCTTAAAGGGTTAAAATGATACTTTTAGTAATTCCGCTGGAAATGTCACATTCATTCAGTTGTGATGGTGACAGGCGCCGTATGTCAAAAAAACCATGAGTGTCAAAATAACAAAATAAATTTCATAACCTCGAACGCTCATAATAAAGGTCTCCGCCTACCTTACCATAGACGAGTATCGTCGTCCATCTCTTACGTTATCTTCCGCAATGGAATACCATCAGCTTGAGGTGGCCGTGTCCTCATCTGAGAGCGCTCACCTCAAATTTCCTTGACTGCCTAGCTTCATGTTTCGCAGAATAACCGCTTGCAGGGTGCTCAGTTTACGTGCAATTGGTTGTACACAGACGTTCATAGTTTGCGCCGCGCCGATCACTATCCGCCACGCGAGACCACGCTACGCGGCAGCTGCTATTGTTTGTGTCATAACTTTCACACTGACGACGGCTAAATACGATTACTCTACGTGCTCCATCCATTACATTGCCACCGATTTTGACTTTTATTTCTGGAGGTAATGTTGATGAAAGCGATACAGTGTTTCCTATGCATCAGCGAGAGAGGAAGAGTGACTATATTTTAAAAGACATACCCGAGTTGGACCAATAATAGGAGAAAATAGATAAGCATTGGGTTGAAGAAGCGGTAGGATAAGCGACCGACCGAGACGATGATAAAAAGAATGATCTAATTACCATTTCAGGGGCAGATTCAGACGTTCACTGGACAGCTCGAATAGGAGAGGAGTATATTTGGCCAAATGGATGGAAGGAACGTCAACGTAGAGGCCCCGACGTATCGTCGCGGTTATGTGAATTGAGGTAAGCTGACCAATAATGTATGCTATACGAAGTTATTACGAAAATTTACTAATTTTAAATCATCCTTGTCTCTTCTTCAGTTGCTTGCGTTGCGCTTCGAAGTTCATCGCCTTCCTTATTGTGTGGTCCTGGCCTTCGTAACACGTGCCATACCAGGTCAAGCGTGCGGTAGAATCCTCGGAAGCCACGGAAGGGGGGGCGTCGAGTGGCCCGCTGCGAGAGATTCGGCTCTATGTACAGTAGGCATTATTCGAAGACATACATTAGATAGCAAGCATAGGCTGGATTATTAAAGGAATCTTGCGCGGAAAATTCTTGCACTCTTTCCTAACATGAATATGTCAGTTGTGATCACTGGAAATAGCACACAAAGTTTCACGCATGAAGATTCGGTTTCTGAAGAGAAACAAACGTACAAAAACTACACGTTATGGACCATCGAAGGACCAGGAGGCAGAGCCAGGCGAGGCATGGAAAGAAGACGGCGTTTGGCCGGCTACGTACCAGGCGACGCAATGAGAGAATCGGGTTAAAGCGCGCGATTTCGGAGAGTGGAGACAAATCGATCGATGGAATAGGATGGAGTAGAAGTGTAAGATGTGAATGCAACGAAGCAGAAGGCCAGAAAGAGCTTCTAGTGAATGCACTCCAAGAACCAAGTTTGAGCATCCCCGTCGCCAGCATTCGTGAAAGACGTCCGTGGGCAATTCGAACGCGTAGCAGCCTTTTCGAGTTTTCGAATTTCTAA